AGAGAAAGTTGAGTATGAGTGGGAGAGTGAGAGAGGGAGCATAGAACGGCAGTCCGAGAGGGATGAGGAGAGAGCGGCAGAGGCACAAGATCAGGAACAAGAATATGACAGTAAAGGGAAAAGAGAGAGATCTACAGACGTTATGCATAGAGAGAGAGAGAGAGAGAGAGAGAGAGGGAGAGAGAAGAGGAAAAAAAGAAGAAAGAAGAAGAAAAAGGCACAGTGACTTGGCATGTGCGGTAGAAAAGGTGACTCCGCGCGCAGCGGGTAGCGGATTTGTTCAAATCTACGTTGAGTATCATGCCGTGAATGCCAAAAAAAAAAGAAAAAGGGAACCCAAATAAGATGAGTCTGACACTGCAAAGATTTTCCTGATTTCATTTCTGTTTGAAATTCTGGTAAGAGTGAATTGGTATTTCTTTTCAATTTATTTTATGTATGTGTGTGTTTATATAATTGAATGTGTATGCAGCATGTATTATATATATGTAGGCATATTTATATGTATAGACAGGTACTATGGTTGGATACATGTGTATGCGAGATTTAATGCACGAAAATATACTAGTATGTATATGCAGGTGTGTGGATATATATATATATATATAAATATATACACTTGCAGACATAATCTATTAGGTATTTATATAAATATATGTATGTAATAACCTAGTAAAATCGGACCCCGAGTTACGTAAACAAAACTTAGAAGATTATTTGAAAATTTAAAAATAATTTAAAAAGAGGATTTAAAAATAATTAAGTTTCCTAATATGTAAAAATAAATTAAATTAGAAATATTAGGGGAAACGAAAAAATAATAAATTAATAAATTAAATTAGGAATAAATTATAAAATTAGGTAAGAGAATATTAAATTATGTAAAATAACAATAAAATAAATATTGGGATAATTAAAAATAATATTTAAGTCCAAGAAGTTAAATAGAAAATTAGGAACCTATACTCAAAAACCAGAAAATCAGAGGTCGTTTGGGCCTAAAACAGGATCCGAGGACCTAATTGAACAAAGATATTAAAAATTGGGGTTTTTTGCAATTTTAGGAATTTCAGCCACGTTAGCAAGTAAAGTGGCCATGCAACCAACAGCCTAATGTCGTGTGGCGGACACGTGCGCAAGTCTACGCAAGTGTGGCTGCCCTAGTGGCGATCCGCATGATGTAGATAACGGTCTACATGTGCAAGGAAAGGTTTGATCATGGGGCCAAGATCCTTCCCTTTTGTGTTTTTGATGAATGACCATGATTGCATCTGGGCAAGCTAAATTGATGGGTAGAAGAAGACTTCATGTAGATTACGATTCAATAGTCCGTGTGTGTCACGATCGTGCAGTCAGGATTCGCTTTCATGCAGATTACAATCCAATGACCTAGATTGTTTCTGCCAAATCTGATCGAACAACTCATATCTCTTCTTGTTTGAAATTCAAATGAACGGCCCAGATCACATGAGATATGATCCAACGGTTGAGATTTTAAACTCACAAAAAGACCTTTTTTCCCTTAATGAAACACTAGATCGTGTTGCCACGATTTAAGGGGTTTAAATCCAACGACCGAGATTGTATCTCGCATGTAAAAAGATGGAATTACCACCACTTTGATCGAACAACCTAGATCTCACCGTAAAGATCTAACGGCCAAAAGGAAGAACATAGAAGGTAAACACAATTAAGGTTTCCCTCATTCAGGCCACTAGTGGCACCATGGAGGAAGAGAAGAGATCGCCCTTGCACGATCTACACTAGAGAGGGTGGCTCGCGGCATCCACCATGAGCTTGAGAGAAGAAGGGATCGCCCTTGGCGATCTTGCCGAAGAAGAACAAGAGAGAAAAGAAAAGAGGAAGTGGGGAAGGGAAGAAGAAGCCGCGAGCGGTGCGGTGCCACAGTGGAGAATGAAAAAGAAGGAGAGGAAAGGAGAAGAGAAGAAGGGGACCGATAGAGGAGAGAAAAAGGTGTGGTTTGCAACGACTCTACCATGTGTAGAGTGACAAAGAAGAGAAGGAAAGTCGAGGAAGAAGGAGGAGAGGAAAAGAAGAGAGAGAGAAGGGGTCGTGCATGAGTGGCTTATTTATTTACTATAGGTTATATGTATACTGTTTATTTATTTGTTTGTAAAGGTTATTACTGTTAAAGGATTAAAATGGAAATGGAATGCATGAATTGTAAAGGGAAAATGGTAAAGGTATTGTGACAATATGGTGAGTGACAGGTACGTTATGGAAATAACATGAGAGGGGGAAATAGTAGAGTTAGGTTGAATTAAGTATAGGATAGCTTAAGGTTTTATCTCCAAAGAAAATGCGTCAAGTATCTAATAGAACTTAATTCACCAAGTTGTCTAGTCTAAATTCGGTCCCTCTGATTTCTTTGGAGGGGTATTAATATTGTTATTGGTTGGAGTCACTAGGCTATGGGTGCTAGTTATTGGGTTCTATGTTGGAAGTTGATGGGTGTTGAATCCACCAAAAATAAATTTTTATTTAACCAATAAAACAAGATTATAGTAATGGTAGGCAGGGTCCGAATCCACAGGGAATTAGAAATCAATATTCTTCATTGACCAACGAATGAAAAGTAAACAAATGAGGTTTTGTAAAATCTAATACCCAAAAATATAAAATAAGCAATAAGCCAAATAATATGAAACAAACTCTTGGCTAGAAATTAGAAACTAAAATAATTATAGGAA